CAAACAGACACTCCAATTTTATTTATATGTATAGATTATTATTTATTTATTTATTTATTCATCCAAAATAATACAAATTGTGTAGGATAACGTAATAGTATCATTACAGTAAAATTTTGTCAACAACATAATAGCAACTTAAACATTAAATCTCGGTATATCTATAGACTAGTTAGCCCCAGCGACTTCGTCCGCGTGAAATTTTATTTTATTTTTCTAAAATAATAGTAGCGTAAGTTACTCCTTATTACATCAGCTACTTGGCAAAAAAAGTCCCGTCAAAATCGGTCGAGCTATTTCAGAGATTAGCAACAAACAGACAGACAGACAGACAAAACTTGTAAAATATACCGTATTTATATTCATATGCAAGTAGTAAAAAACGGTTATTTTAATATTACAAACAGACACTCCAATTTTATTTACATGTATAGATGTATAGATTAAAAAAAAAGTAACAGTCACAAGGCTAGTCGTATGCCTAATATATATAATAATGTAATAAATTCATTTAAACAGAAATTGCGGGAACATTATTTAAATTTCTAACTTTTTTACTGTCCTTCTCCTTTTTTCACATCTTTCTGATATATCCCTATAGTTCTGTCTATATTTTCTGTTTTTCTTACTTTCAATTTGAGACTGTACTTATAATTTGATTATCGGATCATTATGTATTTATTTATATAGAATATTTATACATTTATGGGTTATATTTACATATATATTTATGTATGTATATTGTTATTTTTTTATAAAAATTTATATTTTTGCTTTGTATTTATATATCTTTTTTTGACATTTCTTATTTGCACTCATAGTTGCCTGGTAATTAACGCGGCAAGATATTACGTCCACCACATGTACAAATTTTTTGTGCATTAAAGTTAAATAAATAAATAAAAATACACTACTGTTTAATGAAAATGCGTATTGTCTAGTGCTTTGAGATGTCTTAAATATAAGGTCAACAAAAAAGTCCGTGATGGTATATGTCTATCTCTTAAGGATAATCAACAATAACCATTTTTTATCTTTTACATTTTACGGGAATTTTTTTTATCGTATGTTTCCATTAAAATCATGTAAACTATGTTATTACGTCATAATCTAAAGAAATAATAATATTTTATAGTGAAATATCCACTATAAAATACTAAAAAATAGCAATGTAATTCGTTACGCGTGAATCAGCTGTTATAAGGTCAAAGGTCGGTGCACCCCGCGTATTTGATAAATAGTGCTTCTCTGGATGTCTTTAAGAGAAAATGGCAGTATGTACGTGTATATGTACAAGTCCTTAAGTGTTAAGTTTTTCAAATGTACAATAAAGAATAAATATTTTTAAGTACAGTACTTACGTACATTAATATAATACCTACTTTTTACTTGTATCTATTGTTATCAAAATTAAATTATAAGTTCTTAACTTGACCACGACTATGTGACCCTCTCTTGGCGCCAAAACGAGTGAAAAAATGAACAGCATACGACGACGACGCAGTACCTATAGAGTGGAGCAACTGCTTATTCAGTTTTATTTATTTTAGGTATATCAATCATTACATAGTAATATAAAAACAAAGTCGCTGTCGCATCTAACAGTACATAAAATAAATAAAATGTCTGAGGTTTGGACAAAAATTCAAAAGGTACTTTATTTTGAAAAAGTATTTTGAAAATACCTATTTTGCATTTAGTATTTGAAATACAAAACACAAAACTATTTTTGTTTTTAGAGTGACATTTCTATGAATTCACTGTCGATAGCGAGCGGTGCGATGGAAAAAGATAACTGTTTATTAAAAAATATAATAAATAGCCCTGGACAATTAACACAGACTGATACTGAACTGATATAAATAGATATTTTTATTTTGTAAATACATATATAATATACATATAAAACACCCAGACCGATGAAAACAATCGATGACCGATGAGTACAATTGTTTGCACCGTGCGAGAAATCGAACCCGCGACCATCGGATGTAAAGCGGTGTGACCACCGAGGCAGTCGAAATATATAAATAATCTTATGAATTTAATTTATTCTAATTTGTTTGTGTGCGCGGGGTGCGGTGTACGGTGCACCCCCCTGCCTCCACCGTTGCTGGAGCTTGCATGTATGGAGCATTGCGAATATAAAATATCTAGATTAGTAAATTCATAATTGATAGACCGTTACGGTATCTATATATATTCGGATTAAAATAAGTATCGCAGTAAGGACCAGTATATAAAGTGATCAACACAATTAATTGATTTTTGAAATATATATACAGAGCCAAAAAGTCTTTGTGTATTCAAAAAATATCTAATTTGTTTGTGTGCGCGGGGTGCGGTGTACGGTGCTCCCCCCTGCAACGGTGGAGTTACTATGTATGGAGCATTGCGAATATAAAATATCTAGATTAGTAAATTAATAAATTCATAATTGATAGACCGTTATGGTATCTATATACATTCGGATGAAAATAAGTATCGCAGTAAGGACGAGTATATAAAGTGATCAACATAATTAATTGATTTTTGAAATATATTCAGAGCCAAAAAGTCTTTGTGTATACCAAAAATTTAGCCGTTCGGAGCCAGTCATGCACGAATTATTAGTAAAAAATGTGTCGAGTATATCGTACTATCGACGAATATATATGGCCACATCGCAAAATAGAATGCGACGTTGCCATACCGCCTGAGATATACGCGATAGGAGTCAAGCGATCAAGTCAGGAACAAAGTGCCCAAAGAGGTGTTTATATATATATATATATATATATATATATATATATATATATATATAATTGAACATTTTAGTCCTGTTAGTAGTTTATAAATTTACATATTTATCTAACACATAAACACCGTCCTATTCAAATAACAGACGAGATTATTCATTCCTTATGTTGTATATACCCTACCATTAAAAAATAATGTAATATTCTAATAATTACTTATATATTAGATACCGTTCGATATTGTAACAATATTACAAATTCATTCTCGGGAGTTTGCTGGACCGCTTTTGGGATCGTAATTGGTATTTTGTATACACTTTAAACCCTTAGGTGTTTTGGGCTAATAGTGAACCGAACCCTTCGCAGTATTGAAATAAATAAACCGCTTTGATAACAATTGCAAGACCCTGAACAGCTCAAAACTTTGTTTGGAAATGATAAAGTTAAGTCAATTTAATAAGGGTTATATATAAGATTATAAGAATTTTCTGAACAAGCTTTGTGATTAAGTAGCTATTTTAATTGTATAGCCGCAGTGTATCTGAAGAATTTGATTTCAAATAAAAAAGAAATCAATGCGTTTAACATCACATACACATTACCTACATTTACACGTCTCTTCCGTCTGTAAGTTCTATTTCTAAAAAGTGACACTATCGCCAAATCGTTATGTCGATTATCTTACCTTATATAACGGATATAAATTCGTCGTACTGTAACGACGAATTTATATCCCAGGGATTTTAAGGGCGTTGTTAACTTTATATCATCATTCTTATTATGAACATAAATGTACTTAGTTTATTAAAATAAATGATTCAGCATTGATTTCTGCTTAAGCACATATATATACAGTATTATTTAAGTGTACCTCACATGGCTATATAAAAGAAATAGAGACAGCAGTAAAACACTAGTGACAGTTTTTAGGTCACTAGTTTCCCTACTTTATATATCTTCACCCGACAGATTGTACTAATTATTGGCACACTCTGCAATGCGGAAAAAATAGATAAATGCTGAAGTAAAAAAGTTTGTAAGATCTACGAGATTATTTAACGCCTAGTTCCATCTTAGTTTATAACAGGGTACCGAGCTCAGAAATATTGCTACATCTTGCATTTGCATGCCCTTTCATATTTCTACACCTACATTTTCTGTCAAACTCGACTCGAATATATATAAAATAATTCCTTATAAACCATTTAACAAAAAATGTATATTTTAAATACACTTAAAATGGAAAAAATAAGTATCAGGTAATTATTGAGTGCATCGCTATAATATAAAGAATTCCATGCAACAATTGACATCTCAACCTATAAATGAATAGTTAACCATTAGAGGTTTCTAATATTCAATTACAATGAGCTATCCATTTGTATCAACGAGGAATCCATTACAAAACAGCATTTATTAAAACATAATTTTTAATTTTCATGAATTTACAATACTTTGTACGTTGTTATATGAAAATTTTCATAATAGTGTTATTATTACTGTTATCTATGAAGTTAAAAATATGATTGAATATATGCCAAGTAGATTGTATTTCGGATTAGTATTATAATTTGTGAAAATCTGTGTGAATTTTAATGTTTTAAAACAAACATGGCGTTTAATATTACATGACAAATTTCTATTATTATACACACCCAGATTTTATATGGCATAGATAAATTTATTTATTGTACTGAATATAAGATCCGAAGTCTGATGTCGTCAAATTATTTTTATCTGAGTATTTTATAGTATTCGGTATCATCGAGCAATTAATTAATTGACCAATTTGGCAATTGATTACTTGGTTAATACAAATGATTAATCGTCACAGCGCCATCTAGTTCTACACTGAGTACTATTGTTACCTGCCAATTAATAAATATTGTTATATACATTTTCTTTGTAAATAAATAAATAGTATCTAAATACTATCGTTATGAATAGAATAGAATCTAAATGTATAACATTGTACTAATATTTGTAAATAAAGATTCTTGCTATATCCTTATTGAGCCTATGTCGAACAACCTGCTAACATCGGTTAGTAAGACACTGACCAATTAACAAAATTTTACATCCGTTAATGTACAATAGTAAAATTCATAAAGTTATAGTAGTTATAGTATTTATAAATATTGTGTGTTGCAAAGATTGCGGACGTTTAGTTTAGGAAACTTACCAGCGGGAATATTACGCAAAAGGTACAAAGTATTACGGACGGACGTCCGGTGCGCACGTAGCCCATGTTGAATAACTCTCACTTGAATATTTTTAAACTACGTCGATTGTATGTAACTGTTATTCGGTCGTGTATAGAGTACATGCTTTAATTACGGACATCGTACAATATTTCTTTAAAATATTTTAACAAGAATAAATTATTTTCGATTCATTTATAATATACGAGTACTATTAATATAAAATATATGTATATGTATATGTGTAAAAAAAATCGGTTTCCCATTTGAAAGTTGTATTGGAGCAATAGTAAACTACATACACCCTGCGTTATATACTAGGCTTGGTAGTGTATATATATTATTACCAAGTGATAATGTATAGTTCTTATTTATCTTCTCAATAATATTATATACGCGATGGATTTTTATTACTCTTTCACGCAGTAACTACTGAACGGATTTTAATGAAACTTTACAGTAATATAGCTTAGCTCATACATCAGAATAACAGATAGGATATAAAATTAATGTGTGTGAAACCGCGGGCACAACTAATATCGTAATAATAAATCGTCAAATCGGGATAATTTTCAGAAATCCATCCATTCAGAATATTTTGTTTAATGTGCCATACTATTTTATAATATGGTAAATAAAACTGAAAAAAATATCAAAGAGATTTTGTTGTAAATATTTTACAACTAGCTGAACTATATCACTATAATGTTTCATCTGAATATATTATTATTGTAAAGTTTCATTAAAATACAATTAGTAGTTTTTGAGTCAAAACGCAACAAACATCCTTCGGATGGATCTATCCATCCATACTCACAAACTTTGGCGTTTATAATATTAGTAAGAAGTAAAATACATCTGCTTTTTAAATTATTTATTAAATATATAATAGTTAGGTGTCCTATTATTTAATATTTTTACTTAATTTTTATTTATAAAATATTTTCAGAAAGAAAATTATTATAATTCTATTTTAAATGATTTTGATTCTATTGCTGCAAATTTCACTGGAACGAAAATTAAACTTAAAGAACAATAAAGGGGTATTTTATTCAGATAATAAATTCAATTCCGATATAGGTGCTTTCGCCCTACCGCTGTCATTTACATAGTTTGATGAGTGATTAATGTATTTTCTATCATGGCAATTGAACGTTGTGCGCATGCGACGAATTTTATTATTAGCGGGACGCTTCACAAGATTACACGGGCCTACAAGCGGCTTTCAGAGTGAAGTAGTCTGTTCTTTTTATACACACTTACTATGAACGTACGTCGCAAAAACGAGCTCCTGTCACGGTTGACGGTCGCTATATAAGACAGAGTAATTTACGTGATAAAGTGTATAACAGAGTGAAAATGATAGGTAACAGGGCTGGGAACGGTGAGTTATCTTATTAAGTCAGCATACTTGTGATATAACAAACTTTTCAAACTACTTTTTGAGGAATTGGTATATTTCAAATAACTTTTTGACGTAGATATTACATTACATAGACATTTTTATTATGGTGCATAAATTTTAATATAATAATATATTATTTGTATTTTAATGGCTTGAATTAATGAAAAGGAATTATTAAAGAATTAATGGAGCATGAAATTACTCATAATTTCTTATTTTTTTGTCAATTATTTTAACTTAATTTTATTTATTGAGTGGTTTATTTTTATTTTAATTGGTTTTCTTTATCCTTTCTGCTCCTGCTATCCTTGTAAGGGAGAATAGATTTTAACGTGAAGATTAATAAATAGATAAAATATTTATTTCCATTTTTTTTCGGTTTTCTATCGTATTACATCAAATTATTTTGGGTTTTCAGATAGAAATAATGCTGATATAATTCGACCCTATAATTTAGCAGCATTTGAAATAGTCCCCTCCAAAACGTGAGTAAGTAATAATTTTTATTATAATATATGTTATATAATAATATAAGGAGAATAAAATTATTTCTCTGTTATTTCTCGGAAAAGTTTTAATTGTTCGTCATTTCCGTCGCCAGAGATACAGTCAGAATAAAGTTTTTTTAGTATCAGCCAAATTCGAACTCATGGTTCTAAGTCGATGTATTAAATCACAAAGTCACAAACACTTCGGATAAATGAAATCTCAAGAATGTTGTTTATTTTCAGAAGTCTTCCTGTACGACAGAAGAGAACACTATTTACAAGATCGATGAAACGCGCCATTCCTTCGTTTTATGAATTGAAACAATACATCGGCGTTTTCATATGTGGTGAGCATTGTTATCCATAGTCAGTTTAGGTATTGTAATTCGACGATATCTAATTCTAATGTCTATTTTAATGTCTGGTTTCTTGTAGGCATTTTATTTGCTTCAGCGTCCACTTGTGATGAACATTTCCAACAATTGCTAATAAATTTAAAATTGATCTATATATATATATATATATATATATATTTCTGTCAATATTCTTATCAATAAATATTTATTGAGTTTTTCCATCTGATCATCATTTTATGTAGAGTAATAATTTAGTTTAGCAGATTTAATTACATGCTTTATTATTAAAAAGTTTTATATTCTATAGAAGTCATATGTGGAAGAGTAAAAGTACATCACATTCCATGCTACATTGACAGTAATAAAGTCTAAACAGTAAAATTTTTATTGAGTTAGCCTAAGATTAAAATGATTGTTAGTAGTTTACCGATTGCCTAAAGAACGAAATTATTATATAGATAGGTTTTTGTGTATATGTTATGCTATCGTCTAAAGCAAATGAATATTGATGATTATTTCTGTGATGTAAATACGGGGATAATCCCCATATTTATATCACATATATTTTTAGAACGATATTAATTACCTCTACTACTACTATACTCTACTACTAAATATGAATAGCATGTCTATCATTCCTTAGTTAAGTTTCATCATCAATTAAAGTCACGCGCTTCAAAAATTAACTCATGGCTGTCTTTATTAACATTCATGGACTTCTAATAACAAAGTAACATTGCATATAGCGAATGTTATTAAGAATGCTATTTTAGAGTTTTGTTTTGTTTATTATTAATTATTATAATAATTAGCCCGCTCTAGCCGTAAATAGGTATTTCCATATTTAATTCATTCTCAGAAATCACTCTGTTGATGGATGAATCCTGCATGAAAATCCGATTATCGCAAACATACAGATAGACGCGACGTAGGACTTCGTTTTTATTAGAAGACGCTACCCTATAGCTCTCTATACAATAAGCGTAAAGAGGTAACCGTACCTGAAATAGATGAAACTGGTGGGTACATCTGCATATGAATAAACAACATTATCGACATTTAACTCCATTAATTTTATAAATTTAAATTACTACAGATGTCATGAAATATATATACTAATACTGTTCCATTTACTTTATTTCTTTCTATACTGCAACGTTGGCAAACAACTATCTCATGGTAAACGGTTACGTTGAACGTTGCTGACCCTTAAAAAACATTAATATACCCTTTATGAAAAACCCCATGCCATTCCACAGTTGTACATAGAGTGTTTTTAATATCAAAGCATATGTGAGTGTTTTTAATATCAATGAATGAAATAATAATGTAATTCGTTGATTATTTAAAAAAATATTTATTGATTTATTATCATTTTGACAACCAACTTAAGACGAGAATTAAGATTTTTAGAATTAGTCTTACTTATATTGTTACCAGAAACTCGTTAATCAATTTCAATTATACATTTTTTAACTTAGCAAGTCATTTAACAACTTCCAAACTGTTATGTTTTATAAATGAGGTACATGATATATTTAGACATCTCAATCTTATGAAACTGAGTAGAAAGTAGAGGTCTTTGTTAATTGGAATATATACTCGCATTTCATTAATGCTGTGATAAGACAAACAGTCCATGGACATAACCAACTTATTTCCTGCTTGTATTTCCAGGTACGAGATATCAACAGTGTGTATGTTTGAGTTTTATGTCCATTAGCAATTAATTTATCTTGCAATAAATAGCTACTTCTACAAGCTAGTTACTATGTAAAATAACTGATAAAAGTGCGGAGTGACATTGCAATCTAATTTGAAATAAAATTTTGCGAGCTATGTACTAGTCAGAATATACCTATCTATTTTAAATCTTGTAGTCATATATTTAAAACATATTGGATGTATCTACATAGATATGTATCTACCTATACGATATAAAATAACATACACTATAAAATAAATGTGTATATATAAAAATAATGTATTTCTATGTACTGTACTAATACCACATATAACAAAACATCGCATACTATTACTAATGTATTTCTTTCTCCTAGTAACTAATTTTCCCGCCAAGCACTCTACTGAGATTTCCTTTGCCAATGGAATCACAAAAAGCTAAATGAGTCTCTCAAACGATTTCTATCTGTAGGGAAGTCAAAGTGCCAATGAATACTCCAGTGTAATTCTCTTTAAACAGTAGATAAGTAAATAAGATTTTAATTCGCTTGTAACATAAAAAGCACAGCATTAGAATTTTCTTTGATTTTTCCGTGCATTATAACATACTCGTATGTGTAAAAAATCGTAATGAATATGCATTACGATATTTTTACAACACAGCGAGTGTTGTAAAAATATCGTAATATTCAAAATTCGTTATTTATAGAGCAATAAACTATAATATTGTATATTTAAATGTTTAAAAATATATACACATTCTTATCAGTTAATGAAATGAATGAAATGAAAAAAAATATTTAACATTATATTCAAGTTCATTAACGAGAATATTTTGTACAGAGTAATTCGGTTTCAACTGCCCGTACAAAATATTCTCAAGTAATATATTATATACATATAATATATTAATTACAGCTAATAAATTTCAATTTTAGTACTAATAAATAGACACACCACATCAACGACACACACGCACACACTCGATTCCTTGATCCGCGTCACATAACAAATGATTTATCTATGTCCTAAACCTAATTTTATTACAGGTTTGACATTATGGGGAATATCGTGGTTCCTATTGAAGGACGCTGTACAACCTGGAGGGTTTTTGTTCAACATGGTTGGGATTGCGACAGCTGGCTACATACTGGGACATACTATCGAACGATACACAACAATCACTCCAATGGTAGGAATGACTTTAGCAGGTGTTCTGTACAGAAACTTTGGAACTACCAACTATCTAGAACATCCAGTTGCTAATGCTATAGATTATCATTTAAGGTGTGTATTCGTTCTAATACTTCTGAATTTTTCATCATACTAATAGTTATGCAAATATGAATAAATACGATGTGGAAGCTTATACATTAATTCAATGATATAAAATGAATACCCATAATACAGTTTAGGCATGCATAAATGAACTGTATGGATAGATATTACCTGTAGGTAACAGTTGCTACTTACCATCAGATAGGGCGTCATGCTGTTTTTTCTGCACCAGTTATGTAGTAAGAATAACAAGTAATAAGATTTTATATAACAAATCTATTTGTACAATGAATTTATTTGAACATTGTAACAATGTATAACAGAATAAATAGAGCTACATTTTTCTGGCAAATCAATCGGGAACTTATAAATAAAACACCACGAATCCTAATAGCAGTACAATCAATTGATTGTCGATAAACCTTTTTTGTTGCCCTTTATCGCTAATAAATAAATGTTATTTACCATTTTTAGTAGTACTAACCATACAAATCAACGTAATCGAGATACAATCCTATTGCAGCCAATTGTAAGAACAAAGACCGGCTATTTTATTTTCAGACGAATTTACCCGGTAATTATCCTGACGAAGGGTCCGCTTACTTGGAATTGGGAATACATAAAAAATAATTCAGTTAAAGTTTTTTCCTTGGCCACTTTGCCTTGGATTGTGGAATGTTCGTCTGTTGTATTCTTTGGTTATATTCTGCTGGGATTTCCATGGTACTGGGGTAAGACTTTTGATTTTATTATACTATATGACTGAAATCATCGTGATGATTATTTCAGGCACTATCATAATAGATATTCAATATTATGTTACAATATTTATTGAAATAGACTAATACTATGTAATATTATGTGATCTGTGCTAATACTAACAATACTGATATTTAATACTACCGTCAAGTAGTAAACGTCTTCTTTATTAATTAGTAGGTATATGCAATTTAAAAATTATTTAGTTGGCACGTATTACGTATTTGAAATTGAAATGTCTTAGCTGATTATATATATTTTTAATATTATACGGTTTTGCAGTTTAAATATCCGCCAAAATAGCGAGAGTGCCACCTGAAGTCAATTCTATTCAATTATTGGACCTTAAAATTTAATTATAACAAGATTTTACTTTTGAAGGGACTCAGCGAGCAGAAATATTCGCATCCAGGAACCGTTAACCGACTTTATTATGTCGCCCTCGCTTTTTCCAAAAAGTGTAATAAAAGTATATTTGTTAAATGAAAGTAAAATGTCTGTATTTTAATGGATAATATTATATTACATATAATGACGGACATTATTAACATTTAAATTGAATCATAATCATCATTGCATTATTATTTGGGGTCGGTGCAGTGTGTCATCTATATGTAAATATTATATCCTATTTAAGATATATTTATATTAAAATAAATCATGCAGGATTACACTTGGGTGCAATATTAGCTTCTGTGTCGCCAGCTGTGGTAGTACCCACGGTGAATGCACTTAGTAAAAGAGGTTTGGGCGCAAAAAGTCAGATTGCGCATCTTGTCGGCAACGCCGGGGGACTGGATACCGCGTTCACGGAAGGCATGTTCGGAGTTATCAACAGCGCCATATTTTATGAAGCACCGCTCTATTACAAAATTGTGAAGGTATTTGTAGAGTGTGTACCTATAATTTAGCATCATATTAGAACGTAATGAAAAAGAGATTGGAATTTACAGAATAATAAATTATATTATTATTATTATTTTAAATATTTTTAAAAAGTATTCCTATTCTTATCAGTTCATGAATTAATAGTAATATAGAAACCTATAATTTTATCGTATATTCACATCTTTTGAAACATACCTGATATGTTTGTTGTAAAGTAAAAACCTATACGTTTTGTATACTTAACGTTATATTCAATTTCATTTTAGAACGGTATATAAAAATAGGTTTCCAGATACTACAGATTAATGTAATAAATAATAAGCGATATAAACAATATTTTTGGATTTATAATGCAAACTTTAATTTGACATAATTCTGTAAACATTTTATGGTCTCGATCCTATATTATCTTAATTATACGTCTATATTCATGTTAATTAATACGTCTTCTACCAATTTTATAGGCCAACTGTCTGATTAAACGCTAACCACTAATTGGGCCTAAGAATATATTAATATCACCACATGATAAGTCATGATAAGTCAAGGCTGTAACTTTATGAAACAATATAATAAGAAAGAGAGTTTAGAAAGTAGAGATTGTTAAAATAACTGTAGCTATAGATATATAAATTGGCTTTGTCAGCCTGGGCTTTTTAATTGTGTAATAATCATATAGAATATTTAGTACGTAGAATACGTAGATGATACCTATAAAAATAAATTTGTTGTATATACAGTCCTATAAGTAAAGTATCATATTTGTCGTTCAAATTTGAATTCTTTCACAGGCGGTATTGGCAATATTCCTTGGAATCTGCCTTGGCATATCATGGGGCATGCTGGCAGATATTATACCAGATCACAAGGACTACTATGCACCTACTATTAGAAGTGTAGTCATATTTGGTGGCGGACTTTTACTTTCTTATTCCTGCAGTTACTATGGTTGGGGTGGTACTTGTAAGTATATATTATTACATAGACATTGGATACCTAATTATAGATAGTTTTGTACACAATACTATATGTCTAAACATTTACTGTGCAATAATGTAAGGTTCGTCAATGTATATTCTAATTAACTTTCGGTTTGTGTTTAAATCTATACTTTCATAAGTATATTTAGAAACTATCTGTAAAGGTTAAGTATATTGGCAGTAGCGTCTATATATCTCTCTCAGGAACTCTAAGAGGAAATATATACATAATGGAGCAAGTAACAAAAACCACATCGGAAACGACGGGCCAGATTACTTGTTACTATAATTGCAAGCTGTGGTTATCTTTGAAAAGAAATTTGAGAAGATAATGATAAATATCTGACACTCCAATTAATTGATAAGATAAGAAAGGATTTTTTTCGTCAATAAATACTAATTTATTTATATTTAAATTAATAAAATTTAGTCATCTATTAAAAATTACGATGTACTCATACACCTCCAGGATTGTACATTAATAAATGTTATAATGTAAGTGTAAAGAAAGGATTCCCCTAAATTCCAATGGAAGCAACTTTTAATAGTTATTTATTTTTATCTTTTAATAGATTTATCTATCTTTGCGCACACCTAAAATAGAAGAAAGTAGTCAGAGATAGGAATTTGTTTTGATTTTTGTTTTAAAATGTCGCATGGAATTGGCTATCAAGGTTATTAATTTCGAAAAGTAATTTAGTTTTTTCATGACAGAGGATTTAGTTGTATTTTTGCACCCAACTTCACGCTTAAGCCATATCATTTTTATATGGTTTGAGAGCTCATATAGCAAGGCTTGTGTGTGAAAAATATCAATTAATTCTACGCAGTAGTTTTTGGTTGGTGCCCATTTAAATATGGAGAGCGATAAGCAGCATTTTCGACATATCTTGCTGTTTTACTACAGAAAGGGCAAAAATGCTGTTCAAGCCAGAAAAAAATTGACCAATGTGTATAGAGAAGGTGTGTTAACAGTACGCCTGTGCCAGAAATTCAACAGTTTATGACTCACCTCAACCTCAATCCGATCTCACGTGTTGTTATTCGCCGGTTCGTATCCACCATTGCCTTTATCGCGTCTGTTAAATTGTTAAATAATTAGATTTATAGAATTGATTTTTATTTACAAAATCGAAAGATTAATTTTGCATTGCCATCTCTGAACTGAAAAACATTTAAAAATTATACGCTGAAAAAAAAAACAACTAGAAGCAGTCTGTCGACAGACTTTGTTTGATTTGAATTATCCATTATAAATCTCACTATACTTGTTATGGCACTGATGAATATAGATAACATAAAGGCTGAGAAGGTCTCGTAGCAAAAGATAACGCTGCCCGGAATAATATTAGGATGAAAACGATAGTGAATAGAATAATAATTTAAAATAAACGTAGCATGAAAAGGACCTTACTTTGACGTAATTGTTGTCTTAGGAACCTAACATTGTGCATTAGATAAGTTTCACAATAGTACGTTCCTGTGCTATATTAGAATATTATTATATATAGAGAATAGCGAAATATGTAAATCACTATTATTTTAATAGTGATTTACAGATTTAATAGCTATATACAGGATAAATACATATATAATTCGGCTTCCTATATGTATAAACACCTCTGGTCACCTTATATATATATATATATATATAAGAAAATTTGTGTTATCAGTATACGATTACCAGGAACTAATAAAAGGAATTTTATTAAATTAAATGTGTATCTATCTATTTCGATCTGATGAACGCCACACTCAACATTTCTTACTTCGTTCCATCATTCGAAGATACATATAATATAGACAATTAGTAGCATTCCATTATTTTTTTTATTTATTATATTTTCTTAGTCATGGTGACATAAATCGCTGGACCAATTTTACTATATTTTCTTTTGTTGTCTATATTTTGTTTCTTTCTTTTTGATGATTATCAAGTATTTATTTTTATTATTATACCAATGCAAATTCAATGTTATAGTTAAGATAGTACAAAAACTAAGTAGCAACACCGATTTGGAAATACTGTAATGCTGTTGTAATATTGAAATGAATAAATAAAAAAAAATAAAAAAATCTTATCTACTTAAGAGCTTATTACATTGTTTTTAAAATTCTATAATATATTTTTTAAAATCTTACAAATCTCATTATAACAATCAATAATAGAAAAAGGTACACAGTAACTATAAAAAAATAGTAAATATATCTTAATTGTTGTATATTATATAATACATATTATCTCAAAGAAATCGAGATTGTTATTGTTCCCGAAGATAAAATTTTGTTACTCATTACGGATACGATCGTATAGCATTATCGCAAATTCACTTCTGCGCTTGCGTATTATAGAAAACCTAAAATACATTTAACCTTGACGTTTAATCTTCTGAATGCCATTCATTGTAATTAATGGAATTATTTATTAATATGAAAAAGGTATAAGTTTTTTATATAAATAATTCAATGCAATATTTATTAATTTCACTGTATTTACTATTTTTCAGGTTTTTCTTATATAAGACATAATAAACAACTAAAGTAAAAAATATTTCTAGCATTCTGCTTATTTGAATTGGTAATTAAATAAAATACTTGCAAGTAATAAAAAACAGAACAAATCTGTCAATCCTAATCTATTCATAATTTTGGATCTTCTAATATTGACAATCAGATTTATTGCATTTCCTATATGAAAATACCATCCAGAGAATTTTAATATTAACATAGTTTTATTCCGATATTTTTTTGATTACTTGACATTTTATCGCGGCTTTGGGGCGGAGAGCCCATTAATTTGCACGAAACGAATTTATCCCACTGGACCTCTACAATTCCTAGTATAAACAAAACTCTTATCAGCCGGGCTATTTCAACTATTGTGGAATGGATTGCGGTTAGATACAACAGGGAGTTATGGCTTAACAGATTATTTAGATATCACAATAGACAAATTTATTTATTCGCAATATTATTATAAATGTTCATTTTCCCTCTCATATCTCTACTATATTTAGGAATTGATTACAGAATAAGGCTTACAATATAGACTGTAAATAAATATCTTTTTCCAGCGAATTTCAAATAGCTGTGTAACACGTACCTCCCTTTAGGTCGTTTGTCTAAATTGTACTAAATTAAGTACATAATTTAAATACCTGTTGAATAATATTAAACTGTCTCCTACGATTTGGGCTTATTACCATTGCAAAGCACTAAAATAAATAAAACGGTATAATTCACCAATCAAAATGATATAATAGATTTCATTCTTTTTTTTTTACTTCTTAAGATATAAAATAACTATAAATACTTTAGTACGTGATATTATCTTATGTGCTCTAGGTAAATACAAATTTTGATTACCTACTGTATTACAGAAACACCTTTGCCTAGTCTAATTAAAGTTACTCTCTAGAATGTTTAAAAGAACTATTATTTTTATTAATAAGAACTATTATTATAGGTCTGCACGTAACATAAATTTTAGGTAAACATCTTTACCTATTCTGGAGAAAAAGGGTATTGGCAGATAGACAGAAAACAAACAGATCCTGTGAGAGTTCTCATTTTATTTTGATGTACGATGCCTTAAAATGGTCACGATCCAAATTAACAGGGTTATCTGCAAATATACATTACAAATAGAGAAGTGCTTGTATTCTCAACGAAACAGAGATTCCACTCTTATCGGTTATCAATATTAGTTATTAAATCTCATATTACAAGAACAGGGCTCATTACTGTTATCGTTATAAAACAAGTAGAGGTATTGTTTATAGTACGTATAACCAGAATAAACATAACATATACTACATAATTACATTGATTTATCTGGGGCCGAATGAGGCGGAGTGGGGTAGGGGAAATGTTTAATACCACAGAGATGTAAAGAATTCTCTGTCAATTTACAATAACTATTTTACTGCTTTAAATATTCATTAGTAGTAATAAATACATAAACAATACATTCTGTACTAATAAATATATAACTTTAAGTACGAAACTGCTACTATATGCTATAGTAGATATATGGTATAACCTCTTAGACCAGATGTCACATACTCAGGCGGTCCCGAGCGATTTGTTCCGATGCTAGGTTTTGAATCCATGCGGTTTCAGATTGTGTGTCCAATGCTTCATTCTATTACATGGAATTGATTGCTCCAGCTTCCCGAATGTGGTCAACCGCATTCAATAAATTAACAACAGTCCTACTATATTCCGCTAGGTTTAGTACTCAGGAACGGCAAAGTACCTATGTTATAATGTACATATTTTGTGATGCTTTCAGTTGTGCTTAGTGTTCTTCTAAGAGTAGCGATCATTTTAAATCCTGTATTTGTTTACCATGCCTGTAACATTAAACATCATGGAATCATCATAAAACAACATGAATTCGATACGAACTCCATAATTATCTGTATAATAATTATTTTTAATAATTGAGATATAATATAAACATAATAATAATAAAAGAAAGGAAAAAGTTAATATAAGTAATGAAAACACTAAATGTAGCACTTGTTAATTAGTAAAATTTCATACCATAACGTTCTTACATTGAAATAACTTGTGTGACCACTTGTGTGATCAGCAAAAACATTCGAATAACTAAAGATAGTTTGAGACATGAAACATAAGTAAGAATAATTAGTATTCTTATTATAATACTCGAGTCAATAACAAGACAAGTGGTCGAGCATTATGAATCGCTATAATAATTGCTGTACCTATTGCCTTTGTTTTTGATATAATCAACAATATTGTTTTGTGCCCGACTGATTCGTTTCGTTTTTTAATTTCGCAGATTTTTGATATAAAACCAATAAAACTCTTTTCGCAGTACCTATCTGATTCGAGCGAGTGATTTTTTTTCTCTATTTTATTGCATTATACCTAAAGTCTATTATAGAATTTAATTGTTACTCTTACAAATGAAATGAAGGCAAAAGGGGCTTCATTTATTATTTATACTAGTGTGTAAATTAATTCAATAATAAATATATTCATTTGGAACATCATATTTCAATATTTTTAAATATTTAGTTAAGAAAGTCTTTGAAAGTAAGACATTTAAAAAAAAACAATAATATTAGTGTTTTTCAGCCGGGGTGGCGATCATGGTATGCGCGGGAACTGCAGCAACACGATGGTCGAGGCGCGGTTGGACAATTAATGACAATCCTGTATCAGAGGTGTACAAACTCCTATGGAGAATTTTTGAGCCTATGCTTTTCACTTTTAGTGGTTACTTTATGGAGGTAAATTTAACGCCACTATTAAAATATTTTTTATTTCTTCACCAACATAATGGTAGAGAGTGATCATCATGCAACACACTTGTAAAATTTCAAAGGTCAGACCAAATTAATTTTACTCTTTGTTATTAAATCAGTCATGATTATAATAACCAACCATATCCTATCGACCCTCCCCACGTGGAATCTGCCTGTTATTTGCTAATGAGTAGCTTTTTAGGTAAAAAAAAATTAAATCAGGTAAAAAGCATACTCCTCTTACGTATTTTGCGCTTTTATTTCGCGTTTTACTGTACGTGTGTGTAAGCAATAAAATTAGCTGTTCATCTGATTTCGTTATATCTTTATTCAGCAACTTTGAATGTTTCCTCATGGAAATGCAATAGCAATACATTTAATCAAAATTTTGCTGTGTATATTTAACGTTCCGTTCTATTAGACTTACTCTATTACTCTATTGTATCAGTAAATATAAAGTCATGTTTTCGTTATTCTAAAAATATTCAAACGAATGAGCTTATGATAGGTCCTTTTTGGTGTAATCGAGTTTTTCAGTTAAGTGTGCTTCTAATACGAACTTTGTTTAAAGAAAATCTGACAATTGGGAAACATTCATATTAGTTGTAAGCAGAAGGGTCGGGGACATGCAGCTATCTATTTATTGTATGAGTATTGTATGAGATCATCCAAACAAACATAAAAACTAATATACCTCTGTAATAGCTATTTTCAATAATCTATAGTAATACACATACATAAATTTTCAACAGGTGTCGCAAGTAACAGCAACAGAAATTTCTCTCTTAGTAGCTTGCATATTCTCCGCCTTAATTCTTCGGTTGGTGACAGCTTTCCTGGTCGCTTTATCCAACAGAATGTCGGTAAAAGACAGTCTATTCACAGCCGTCACATGGATGCCTAAAGCCATTGTTGAGGTACGTAGGATAGAATGCATATATTTCCAGTCAAATGTGTCGTTGCATATTCTTACAGTGAGTTAACATATAAACAGAAATAAATTATAGCCGACACACGATTAGAGAAATTTAAGTTTTACTTTCTTTTTTTTATTATACAGCACCAGGACCTATACGAAAAACAAACTTTTTTCTTTCACAAACAAAGTATTTCTATTCAATAATATATCAATAATATCGAATATATAGCAAAAGTGAGCTTAAGTCTTATAATATTTCTTCCAGTAAACATTAGAAGTTTGCAAGTAATTAGGTACATTAGTAAATATTCATTCTTCAAATAAATCTACTGAATCAATTTTTCTATTATACTTCAATTGTTCTTTTAAAAACTTAATATGCAAACTCAACTCTCACTTAACCATTTCATTCTAATTTACAACAAAAGAAAATTGCTGAACCAATATTTGGAAAGGGAAATGCTCGTTACACGCTGAAACAATTAATCATACTAGAATAGCTAAGAATTCAAGCCCGCCCGTTGGCTGCGAATGGCCTCTGCGTCACCGCTACTAAATTATTACTTTTAAGTGATCTTTTCATTAACGAATGCGAAACGACGCTCACACGACAGCTACTGGTTTAATTCACTTTGATATTATCATACAATTTATATAGCTTTGTTTGGAACTTCAATGCTTTGAGTGTTTGTGGTTTGTACCGAAGATACCAAGTTTGTTTTTTGCTTTGTTCCCAAGGCATATATATATATGAATACACTTATAGAATATAACGTTTAATTGCAAAATAAAGGTATAGCGACAATAAAACTATTAAATAATTTTATATAAAAAACTTACATCTATCAAAACTAAGTACCACTCTATAATATGCATATACATTCTATAAAAAAATAAGAATTAATGTCAATAATAACTAATAATAACAATATTAATTTATAATTATACTAAAGCAGTTCATAGCGTATTTTATTTGTACCCGTGTACCTCTTTATTTAATATTATATAGCCGGTCGAAGTACAAGAGAAGGGTAAACCACAGTACAACAAATTAGTCTTAGCAAAGTCGTCGGTACCTTATTCTGTGGCAATGACTGACTTATCATGACAACACCAAACAGAGAAGCCGCCCTAAGAAATTTTATATAAACATTCGCTTATATTCCTATGCGAACACCAGTTCTTTTAAGAAAATCATATATCACAATTTTGTTATCCGCGGAATTTGAATGAACATATTCATAATATTGACATTATCTGAATTCACCATCTCGTGATCTTTATAAGAAGTATATTATATTACCTATTTTTGTTATGAATTTTTTACATACATAAGTTAGGTAAAAGGATCTGGAAGTATTTTTTTTATTGAATGGAATATCTATGTAATGTATTTATGTAAATTACACCACATTCGTCGAATATCATTTATTAAATAAATATGTTGTATTTTCATGGCTTTGTTTGCTTACAATTGAATTTTTATAAAAAGTATTCCACACTCAGCTAGTAGCTACAACATTCAACAGATAAAGTGATATATACGTATATACATATATGTAATTGTGTAAGTATGCAAACGTGAATAATAAAGTGAATAATTATCTACATCTACTTCACATTTTTAAACTTCTTTTGCTTTTATATTAGTTTTTAGTCTCCAGATATAAATAATATAATACATAGTCGCTAGCGGTAAATCAGGTGGACGTGGATCGTCTATCTAATTTTCCGCTAATTTATCCTAAATAAAAATGACACATTACTCTGAATACTAATTCCAATGCGATGATATTGTATTCCGCTGTTTTGCGAAATTGAGATTCAATTCTAAAGCAGATCTACAGGAAACGAAATTTAAAACATATTGTCATGTCACTTATTTATTCATCTGTTTACTTATAATTTATAACACATCCTAACAGATCAACTAGTGTAGGTAACTACTAAAGACGGTTATTCCATTTTACTTTGTCCAGAATCAAAGTTTACCAAGGTTCCACAAACGTGCACAGATTCAAGTTTTGTTGTACCTACTTGTTCTAGAATAGTTTGTAAAGGCAAAGATTAAAGAATATAAGTATGTTTATATTAATTGTTTAGGAAATTACCTAGGAACTCTATAAATATTTCGTTGCCTTAACATATGTAATATAGTATGTATGTATTAAGTTAAGAAAAAAAAAATACGAGAGTTTTAGAATAATTTTATTTATAAATTTGAAATTTACATAGATATGATTAGCTGTGATACAATTTCAGGCCGTGCTTGTACGGGTAGCCGCCGATTCCCTGAACGAAGATCCTACAAGCCTGGATAAAAGAATTGCTACGCAACACTCAAATATAATAATTATTGCCATACTTATTACTAGCACCCTGGGGTCAGCTCTCACTACGATACTTGGACCCATTTTATTATCACAAGACTCAAAAGTGTCTCCTGAAGGTATTCGTTTCAATTATATTAGTTCGATAGCTAAAACATAAATAATGTATCTACTCATTATTTCAAATGTACTATAGTCAAAGGCTTTAATCTTACATCTCTATGGATTGAGAACCCTGAGAAGTAAATAATTTCTAGAACAAAATATGAATGGTGCTATTTATATATCAAAACCATAAAAAAACTACATATACTCGTACATGTAACTATTCTATTACATACAGTAATATAAATAAAGAGGTCTTACCCAAGGCGGTTTCGTCCCGTTTTCGTTCCATCTCTCATCTTCGTCTATGATAAACGCGACGAAGGCCTATCCTTGACCGCATAAATCCTGTAGCATTAAGGGCTATACACGTTCCGGGTGAGTGCACAGACGCTCATGCTATATAATACGTCTCTGCATTATGCGCAGAAACAGATACCTAGCTAATGTTATAAAGAATTTTTATTACAGTTGTAAAAATCTATGTTCAGTTATGTGATTGTTTATATGTATAACGGTTAATTCTTGTCCATGTTAAAGATATTCTATAGATGCATTTTATTTGGTAAACAATCGTTAAAATGATAGTTCATAAAAACGAGTTTATATTTGAGGCATAACAAAAATTAAGATTTTAGTAAAGTTAATAGAGTCAAAACCAAAAAGTAATGATAGTATTATAATATGAATTAATATGATATTTTCAACATTTATTTATTGTTTCAGAGTTTTACCGAACACAGTCTATATCTGCACACGTGTCTTCAGAACACAAGAGAAATATGTCAAGCTCTCTAGCCAAATGATTCCGTGTATATAAATAATTATAATTATGTAAAAATCTTTATTTTATTTTATGATCAATCTGACAGCGACTACTTATACAAAATCTAAACCAAATAATAAATATTTAAGTACTCATAAATATTGACTTGTGAGGTATTGTGAATTTTCTTTATAGCATTCCTTCATGTGAGAGGGTTTACGAAGAGATAGACGCATTCTATTCCCTTCCCGACTTCCCGCTACACAATTTACACCTCCACAGATATCTCACACGATCGTTGTCAGTGGGTGCAGCCCACAGCTTCGCTTAGATACGCTATATATTTATAGATAGATAGAATGTACTTTTATTTGCATTATACAGAGAAAATTTATTTTATATATGGTAGTATGTCGTAAATGTTTACTCTGTGTTATCCGCCTAGATCTATGTATGTGTGTGTATTATTATTTTATTATATTTATTATCTATGAAGGTATCCGCAGAATACCAGCGTCGTGGAACCCCGTCACGACATATTCTGAGCGGAGACCTATTTGGTACTATAAAATTAATATAAACCGATAAAAAGTAAATTAAAATTTAAAAATTATTTTCAGTATTGCTATGTACCAAATAAACAATTTTCTTTCATTCTTTCGCATTTGCACATCAATAAATATATTTGTATAACTTTGTACAACTTATATAACGGAGCTTAGTTAATATATATATATGAACTTGACAGACCATAGATACGAGTTTGGGCATGATCATTACTGTGATTACTTATTTGGTTATTGTTTTCATACATTCGATATAACAAGCATAGTGTGCTTGTATACCACCGTATTTTATTAGGAGTGATGTAAACTCCGGAACTACTGCACTTTTTTAATAAATTCTTTTTCTGTTTCAAAAATATAATAGTTCAGAGTGATATTGACTATTATTATTTTAATATATAGAAAACTCATCAATTTATGAATAACCGGGTGTAGCTAAGGCTGGTAACCTGTATGTGTAAAAGAACGTCAAGTACAAATAGTAATAGGCTAGCATGAGACTAACTTGAGGAACTGAAAATCATTAGGAGCATCTTCCTAAGTGAGAGCCGTTAATAATGTCGCCCTCAAAAATGTAGCAGAAACTCTATCCAGGTAGGTTGGTTCTATGGCTTAATAAGTGAGACCTATGACAATGACATTACTCTGATGCAATGCAATATTGTTTTTACAGATTTCCTATCTCTAATAAGCAGTAGGTTTATTATTTTAGTTAAGCTGTAATTGAAAGGTAACCTACAAAGGTATTTAAGAGAATTTACATTCATAATGATAAATTTGAAAGTAGATAGTAGACCCATTTGTGATTTCCCATGCGATGGATCATTCAACTCAAAGCAGCGATCGTCGGTCGTCTTTAAGAGTCTATCAGAATGGCAGCCAATAGAGAAAAATACAGAGCTATCATAAGAATGACATCAGCCTCTTACTCCACTAATGACGAGGATCGTTGTGTCAAGAACGTATTGATTGATAAGTAAAATAAATTTAAATGCACACACATGACATATTTATATAATCAGTTGTAAAATCACCAAAAAAATATATTACTATGTTTTTTTATATCTCTAATTTATATGTTACAATAATTAATTAAGATGACATCTTTTGATTATTTGGCCAATTCGTGACATCACAGCGTTGTAATTATGTTTAATTAAGCATCTAACTGAATTTCATTCTCTACATCACAGCTAAATGTAGTACGTAATCGGTCGTTACAAGATACAGCCGCAGCCATAGAGGCAAAACTAGCCAAGTTATTAAGCGGTGTCGATTAACAATAATGAATTGATTTGTCTGTAGACACGCTCGAGTGCTCGACGCGCAGCGGTCAAATTCATGGCACTCATGTATTTACTGACGTGAATGTGCATCTGATGAAATTATCTATTTTATTAGGTTTTAAATAGATACTGTAGTGCTATATATGTTTAAAATTTTGATCATGAGCAGAGGAAACGAAGAAAGTAAGTGCTGTAAATTTAATCAACAACAAAAATTTAAGCAACATTTAATAATATACATATATATGATAATAATACATTATTATTTTACATAAATACACAATAGCTCTGATCTAGTGTGGAAAATCAGTTAACGCATTCTTTTATGGACTAAAATCATTAATGTTTACTTAATAATCAAACCGTGGTGAATAAAAAATAATTATCTTGAAAGTTATTACATTGAGATATATTTCAACTAAAAGTATACACAACAACAAAGCAAATAGATTGAAAAAAGTAAAAGAAAAAAAATGTAAGAAAATAATTAAACAACATTTTGTTATTGTAATAAAGATATATTCTTATTACTATAATGAGCAAAACAATTTTAACAACATGTTCATGGATATATACACATGAGATAGGATTACATTAATTAGGTTACAAATAGACGAAGGTTACATAAAAAACAATAAAGACCTACATTATGCTATAGCAACTAAAAAAATCTGCCTCAATATATTTCAATTTAATAATTATAATAATAATAATAAATCATACATATATATATTAAACTGGAAGTAAAATAAAAATCAATTATTTCTAAACGATTCATTCAATCATTCCAAATTTGTTTTTATCACAATATAGTAAAATGAGAAAATTTATTTATTTAAAATATTTAATTACATATAAAAGTAGTGGTATTTTATATATTCATGAGTTCGTAATATAAACAGTGACTATTTTGCTTTAGTTTTTTAAATAGATTGAACTCATTCATTATATATAATAATAATAATATATTTATTGACACCAATTTACGTAGTTATAGTTGGTTATTGTTCTTATAAACTATTACATTTTTATTAAACAATGATTACGTAGACGGTGTCCTGTAAATTATTGATATCTTAAGAATATTACGTGACTATCGCCTATACGTATTGTATTTTAGAACTACCATTGCTGAGTTCGAAGAAGATGACCATGTAACAATTGTATCCCTTTGTATAAAGACTGTTTATATTACGACTCACGTTGAAATTATGAAGTTGAAGATAGACATGTTATTAAGAGATACCTTATTAATTTCTATACTTTAAAATAATTTTAATCCAACTAAAAAATTTCAATTTTTAAGAACAATTATTGTAACAAATAATTGAAATATCCAATATAAATTTTTGTTAATTATCTTTTATGTTTTTATCTTCAATATGAAACTTCAGGTATTCAAAATAGAGTACGCAGTAGGTATAATTAATTGTTTATGGTTCAATGGAGTGTAAACCACGAAAATATATTTTTTTGTACTACAATACTACTAACGCTATATACAAATACATCCAATCCTGTATACTTTTCTGTTTTATCCTTTACACAATTTAAAATGTACAATTTCTGACAAATAAGACGTAATTAGTGAACACAATAAATTACACTCAAAGCAAACGTTCCTTTATTTCTAAATAAGAAAAACGTTATTTACATTTAATAACTTACCTGAGTTATGAAGGAGAAATTGGCTTAAAAATAAGAAGAAATAACAACATATATGCGGTTTATGATTTTGACTGAACCTTTGATATTGTATATTCAGCAATAGAAAATGCCAGAATCCCTGCAATGAAATGACTGCTACAACATGTCGACAATTTACGTATAACAGACAGAAATTTGTTCAATGTAAGCAGTCGTTGTATTCTTCATTTGAAATTAAATATATAAATATTTTGTATTTTAGATAAACAACATGACATGATAAAGTAGCATGCAATATGACAAGTCTTAAGTTGTCATGTTATAAGGATTAGAATGTTGACAATGTTTGCATACAGCGCCGGAGCGGCATTGAGATGCTGAGATAGTTGTATTTTGCCATACACCCATCTCAGATGACATTAGATATTACAGACTATAGATAGAGAAACCTCAATATACCAACAGTATATATTGACACGAGGAAAAGGCGGACAACAACTAAGCATTTAAACAATTTCTCCAAAGAAATGAAACATTTTCTACACAAAAATCATATCTTTGGATAGATCATGATGATAAAAAAGCCTTATAAGTAGTGGGGGTATTTTGTAAAATTCGACATAAGTGTTATCGGTATGTAAGAAAAATGCTTTCTCGGCTGATGCATTATGATATTATTGACCTTAAACAGAAATCAATACAAGAAATAACTTCATCTGAAGAATGTATTTATTTTTCTTTTTCTTCTCACTGCAATTAGAGATAGTGACACCTCGTTCACTCTACTTAATCTAAGTAGAAGGCCATGCAAAACCAGTTGAAAGTATTAATATGTACATATAAAACTTATTTAAATAAAATTTCATTAAAATAATTACATCTTAATAATAATATATAATTGTAATCATTCAATCAACCTTGCTCCTAAGCTAATTATGAAATAAAAATGGCCTTGCGTGAATTGTCCGGAGATATTGTTGTTACTATATACATATTTTGTGTTAATTGTAATGTGTCTATTTTACAGAACACGTTTCTTTAATACAACTCGTAACTAGATACGTTCTATGAAATGAGTCTCGACAAAGTATGTATGATTTATTATGCATTATTTCAGATAAGGAAACCAGAGTCATCGATAACGGTGGCGGCAAATTAAATAATCAAGAAGATAAAACGTAAGTGACATTTTGTTTACCCTCATAAATTTTATAAAGAAAGAGGTTTACTCAACTATCTAGCAAACAGAACTTTAGATGCCTGAATAACAATGCTCGAACAATTGCACGAGGATGATAATTTATTACTAAAAGTAAAGACTAAAGGATTAGACGATATGCCTAAAACATATACATTGTGAGAAAAAATATATTTAATTGTAGGGTAAATACTATCTATTAATATCTTAATATTGAAAATGGAGATAAGAATGAGTTTCTTTTCAATATTCTAGAGCGCCGGATTCTAGACTAAATATTTCAAACTATAATTTGGATATATCCAACGAGGAAGATTTGAAGAAATCATGGTGTGTTACTGCGACGCCTTCAATATTGCATTTTATAACATTAATAATATTAGGTAAGTACACATTTATATTGAACTCATCAAATATTTATATACACAACTAAATTTACTAAGACTTACGTTAATATTAATTTCTTCATTATACTTAAGTATATAAATTAATAAATTAAGTAACTGAAATAATTTCCTAGTATGCATTTTCTCCAGTGCATCTGGACGTGGGTATAGATATAATAATTGAGAGATATATTTTGTAATTTACTGTCATAGTTTATAAGTTGTGTACTAACATAATATGGATGAAATCTGAAATGAATAGATAAATAAATAAATATCTGTAAATCTAAGTATTTAAGGCAATATTATTATTTTTGCTGTATTTTTACATTCTAAATTAATACGTATTATGCTAAACTTAAATAATATATATATATATATATATATATAGGTACGTCAGTATGGGGATTAATGTGGTGTGCATGGGGTGATAACTGGAAGTTGGGAGGGCCATGGTTTCGCTTGGCGGCAGTAGCTGTGATTGGATGGGCTAGCGGACAAATGCTGCATGAATTGACAACCCTTCCACCACTACTTGCTGCTCTACTAACTGGCATTATAGCAAGACACTGGAATATTCTAGACATGAGAGAATATTCTGACATCGATATATTCTTAAGGTATGTCGAAAATAAAACATAATTAAAAGGTCAATCCGTTAATAGTACCATGTCCTAGTGACTTTTATCTCTGACTTGGCAATTATTGTACATTAATTTTCATATTTAAGTCGAAACGTCGAAAATAAACCAAACTTAACCCTAAACTCAATAGGCTGTCCACATAGGTTAGAAATAAGTACATAAATGTACACATGTTAAGAATTGCGATAATCATGAAATGGAAGAAATTGCTATTTAGCGATAATGCCGCCCATTGTTACCTCTATGTTGTAATTATGTTGTTTTTTTTATATTTGATGTACATATTAATTTATGTACTATAATTGTTATTTCTTTCTGTGAGATTAACAAGAAAGAGATTTTCTTTCCATTTCATATATTATCTCTATAAAGAGTTTTAATTGTATAGTGTTTCTTTAACTGAACAAAATTTTTATTTTACAGAAAAATATACCCAGTTATAATTTTAGGCAAAGCCTCCTTAGGATGGGACGTGAAGTACATGAAAGATAATTGGAAGTTGATAATGTCACTGGGTATTTTGCCTTGGGCTGCCGAGGTATTTATGCTGTCTGTGCTAGTCAATCTCTTATTGGACTTTCCTTGGTTATGGGGTAAAAAAATCTGTTATAATTAATACTTAATTAGTATAGATGTATTAATAAATTATATTATCTACATACTTACGCATATTAGCATCTGCTAAAGAATAATATAATATACATTTAATATAATTAAATTATTGTTTATTCTTGAGTTCAAATCTGGCGGATACCAAAAACAAACTTGTAATCATATTTCTGACTTTCCGGGGAAGAGACTACCGATATCGAACCCAAAAATTAAGCAGAGCCAACCATATTGGACTCGAACATACACTACTAAATGTCTGCATGTAAAGTATTGCGTTAATCACGACATCGATAGTTGACAATGCCTCTGATGTGTAGTTAGATTATCTCAAAAATTTGTAACCATAATATATTAATATTTACTTTAGAATAACTAATAATTGTAATATTATTTTGAAATATAATGGCTACGAAAAATCTTCGTTTCAATAGCTGCATTTACACATACGCTCTTTCAAACACGAATCGGCTTTTACGCAGGAAAGAATGAGAAAGACCACGCCTATTCTAGCTTCCTTCAACTGTGCCTTCGTTCGCGTAGCGGCTTATTAAATAACATTGCAAAATGCTAGACATCAAACTATGGAGTAAAGGCATAATTATACAGTTATTGAAAATCTAAAAGGTGTCTTTAAAAAAAATGGCTGGAATAAAATTTTAAAAGTAAGTGACTGGTGTGTAGGGTCTGTGTAAGTGTTAGTTCAACCATATGCATGAAAGAGTGGACACGAAAAATAGTAAAATGCAATCACACCTGATTAAGCGCGCTGGTTTCCCTGCGCTAAACCACAAGCATTCATTAACGCTCGTGAAAGAACATGCCGCCGCGCCGTGCAAAGGCAGATTATGTACAATAGCATTATAATCGCGACTAGCTGATGGTTGACTTAAAACCGTCACTGCAATTGTTAAATCTTGTTTATATATTCTCCAAATATTAAAATATATATACCTTCATAATGGTCGATCTACCGGGCCAGAAGCTTTCAAGTGTCTCGAAAAACTTTCACTGCTTAAATAATAATGATAGAATACAATTTGAAACTTTATTTATATATATTATTATATTATTATTATGTAGTTACGCTGATATGTTACTTATTTATGTAATTGCATTAGCAAACAAGCTAATTATGATTATTAACACAGTCTATTGTATTCTTTTAGTTTACAAAGTTGAAATTAAATCACATTAATATCCAAAAATTTAACATTAAAAACATATCTAAAAATTCATCTCTCTTCATCACAATACACAAATAAAAAAAACTTAGAAGCTCTTACAATTGCTATAAATATACATACATTTACAAAATTTAAAACATCAATATAAATGTTTTGTATTGTTGTTTAATAGTGTGAGTATTTGCGGCGTACATCTCTCGCAATAAAATGGAATTTGTCATGAATAGGTACTGAAACACAATGGGGCGCGATGTGTGCGGTACAAAGCCAATTCAATATATTTCGTTGTGAACTGGTATTGCGAAAGATTTGAACGCATTTTCACCGCACGACGTGCACTGCAAATGTAAAATAAAAAGGTTGCCAGTTGTCATGATCAATGTCTGTAAATTTTTCAGAACAATATTAAAGTGTACGTTTTTACGTATAATATAGTTGATTGTATTTGGATTTCTACTTAATACACATATATACAGGAGTCACATGATAAATAAATTATTATCAACACACTGATTTAAATATTCATAAGCGTTTTCTACCTTAAAAAATTAGCGTCAAAACTGATATTAATAAGGCTCTACATCCAAAGTGAAATCCTACTAATATATAGCGCTGGAAAGTGATGTAATGTATTTTACAAATTCCCCCTTACATTATTAAATTATAAAATGCTCAACAATACATAGGGCAATAGGTAGAAATGACCTGGATATACCATACAATAGGAATACAAATATCTTTGTGTATTGACCGTTTATAAATCGGCTATAAAAAAAAATATGACGCTCTCATTGAGAATTCCAAATTGCATTGGCATAACTCCATATTGCGCTACCTGTGTAGTTCAGATTTGCTGACCATTTATTACAGTAAAAATATTGGAATTTACAAATTTATTGTTGTTTTAAAGTGCAATATGGAATGTATAAGAGAATTATTATTCTCTTTAGTTTCGCTAAAATTATTTAGGTACCCAAAAATTCAGAGAAAGGATGTGTAATATTTTAACGGCTTTTATTTATTTCTTTTACATTATGATTAGAAAAATATGGTGGAATTAACACAGAAAACGGCTACTCTACCAGTCCAATACTAATTCATTTCAGATTTAGTACTTTTTTTACATAATTGTTTAATCAGTTATATCTATCATATAATTTCTGGTGAGAATAGCGGAATATAATTTCTAAATTTATAACTGACTCTGTGAATGAAGACGTCTAGCTACTTCCTTTTGGATTAAAGTCGTGAGTTTATACAGATTCGACATAACCGAATACAGACTCTTTATATATATACTATATATTTTATGCTTGGAAATTGAATCAAGTGAGATTTATCATTACATAAATCTCACTTTAGCTGACATCTTACATATTTCTTGGTTGAATTTAGTTTAAACACTGAAGTAACGTTGGAATAACATTATGCAAAGCAAACATACCTACCAACTTTAAAGTGCTGCGACGGTAATAACATCGTACTTGATGCAAAACCGATTTAGAAGAGGTCCAAATGGTGAATCCATTTCTACACGAGTTAGTGACACTCGAAATTCAGATAAGTTGAGAACCGGGAGCTCTTTAAACAGCCAGAAGATATCCTTGGACTGTTTGAAATTCCTATCACAATTTTAAAGTTACACCTACACAATTTCATTTTACTAATGTTTAAAGTTACATTTTGTGTACAAATTCAAAGTCACCAATTTCAAGACATAAAGTACCGGTCTAATAGAGTATGATTTGCACAAATGATTTCTAGTTCACGTAGTTTTTTACTTTATCGTTAAAACAATTTGTTGCTTATTTTCAGGCGTCCTGCTGGGTTCTATATATGCGTCCGTGTCATGTGCAGTACTGATGCCGTCTGTAATTAATAACAACAAACTGGCTGGAGGCAAACGCAATTGGACTCAACTTATATGCACCGCCGGTGGAATCGATACGGCACTAAGTGTCGGAGTTTATGGTCTTATCTATAGCTTCATGGTCTACGACACTAATGACATTTATAGATATACAAAAGTGAGTAAAATTCCACTACATATACTGTTCTAAACTACCACGTTAATGTTGTGGTAAATCCATAATTACGAATGAGTGATATATATATGAAATCATGATAGATTTTATTGTCTATACAAAATAAGAAGTCTTTCCTTAAGTAATACAGGGCAGTTAGTATTTAATATTCAAAATTTCATGACAAAGCCTAAAAATGTCGCCTCTGCGTTGATCAGTCAACCATCAAACTAACAAAGATCTCAATACTAACTTCTTAGAGTGAGTAAGCTGTATCTCGTTAAATCGATTCTAATAAAACAAATATCATTCTTTAAGAACTTTAGCCAAAGAACTACATACGTAATTACAAAATTTCATTGATCTGTTCAGCCATTAAACATACGTCAATTTTAAAAATTCTAATTTTGGATCTGTTGTTTATTTTTACAGGCATTTTTAGCGATATTTATGGGTATAGCACTAGGTGTTCTATGGGGTTCTTTAGCGGGACTAGTACCACATTCAAGAGATTTCTACGTCACCGAGTTGCGCATTCTCTTCGTGTTGGTCGGTGGTCTACTTGGCAACTTTATCACTTCTTTAATTGGATGGGGAGGCACAGGTTAATACATTTATACACACCATGTATATTCATGGTGTGAATATTATTACAGTATTTTAACAAAATCAATGTATAGTTCAAACACCGCCTCCATAAACCATTTAATAGGATATCTTATCATTTGAAAATTTACAATATGAAAAGTCTCATAATCCCAAGCTCGCCTTCTATAAATATTATTTTTCTTGATAGCGTTTGTATGACAGTAGCTGTCTCTCGCGCGTTCGTTTGAGTGATTAAATAAAGTAGCCTATTTAATTTGTATGTGATTGACAAATATACAGAATATTACATTAATAACAAATATTCTAATATTTTTTTTATCATAATGTGTACATTAAAAAGCGGCGGCCCATCGCTTGCAATTATACAAGGCGCAGATCCGGCCGCACATGGAATACTGTTCTTATCTCTGGGCGGGAGCACCACAATACCAACTGCTTCCATTTGATCGCATTCAGAACCGAGCAGCCAGAATCATTGGTAATCAATGTCTATGTGACAGACTCGACCCATTGGCTTTGCGAGATATTGCATCTCTGTGCATTTTTACCGCATATATCACGGGGAGTATTCTGAGGAATTGTTCGGATTAATACCAGCTGCTGAGTTTCACCACCGTACCACCCGCCAGAAACTGAAATACCATTCTGATCATCTGGATGAATGGCGGTCTTCCACAGTGCGGTTTTCTAGAAACTTTTTGCCTCGCACAACCACATTGTGGAATCACCTTCCAGCAATGGTATTTCCAAACCGATACGATATTGAAACCTTCAAGAAAAGAGCTTATTTATTTTTAAAAGGCCGACAACGTACTTACAATTCCCCTGGTGTTGCGGGTGCTCATGGGCGGCGGTAATCACTTACCATCAGGTGAGCCGCATGCTCGTTTATCCCCTGTGTTATAAAAAAAATTTAAAAAGCATTAATAATAAAAAAAATTGTGCTTAAATAAAACATGGACGAAAGAAATGATAAAATTTACCTTAGTAGTAGTATTAGTTAGTTATGTTTCTCATAATCCTGTAAAATATATGTACCTATATCTTATCTTCAGGAGGCGTAGCAGTGCTAGCTTGCAATGCGACTGCAGCTACGCACTGGGTCCGAGAGGGTTGGAAACTTAATAGCAATCCAGCATCAACAGCTTATCGCGTTTTATGGTCTATATTTGAACCTATTCTTTTCACCTACACGGGAACATTTTTTGTGGTTAGTTTCTGCTTGTTCATCACCCGCTATTTGCCATTTCGCCATTTGCCGTTTATACCATTTATATATACAGTATTTATTTTATATGTGTTCTCGTACATGCACATCTACAATACACAGCAGTGCAACCATACACGGCTGACTTTTATATCCAGAAAATTTACTTTTCTTTGAGTTATAAGAATCTATGTCATTATAATATAGAAACATTACAATGTCTCTTGAGAATGTAGGTAGTATATATATGTACATACATTCTCAATTATCTCTCACATAATTCTATATATTTTCATATATCTGTTCACAGGTCAACACGTCTGTCTCGGAGAAGAGGCTGTTATTAGGCTTCGGGATCCTGGCTGTGTGCCTAATAGTACGACTATCAGTCACGTTTCTTGTTTGTAGGAATTTTACGCTTAAAGAAAGAATCTATGTGTGTTGCACCTGGATACCAAAATCAATTGTCGAGGTAATTATTATTTGATGTTATTTTTAATCTTATTCAATCCATACAGTAATATCGTAAATGCGAAAATGTGTCAGCCTGTTTATTGCATTTTCACGACCAAACTGCTGAAAGAACCTTAATGAAATATTACGTGAATATAGATAGTAGGTATCGCAATAACGAACTTCGACTTTTATCTCAAAAATAAATTGAATTTACTGATAATAGCTAAAGTAATACAAACAAAAACGCAAAATAAAACGAAATTTATTAACTAAAACCTAATAAAAAATGTATTATTCAATTATAAAGTACACGTAACGTAACTGTTGACAATATTACCGGATCTCTAGGTCATTCAATTGTAAAAAATTCAATGGTAAATATTAGTTTCAATTTAGAGAAAACGAAAGTACCGCCAAGTTTTGTTACATATAGACCTATGAAGAAAATAAATATTGATCAATTTAACAGGGATCTTATAGTACTGAATTAGGAATCAGTATCAATAATCATCAGTTAATTCCGTGGTAGATATATTCAACTTCTTATTCTTGTCTCTATTTGACCAACATGCGCCATTGGTTACAACGAAATTTAAGCACGCTACACCACTACCATGGATTACTGATGTGATTAATGATTCAACTGCGTAATAAAGCTTATAATAAATATCACAAATCAGGATCTGAAACGCATAAGAATTATTACAAAGAACTGAAGAAATTAGTCTCAAAAAGTATCGAAAGTGAGAAACGAGCTTATTATAATCATTTTGTTAATTCGAATGTTAATAGTGGCAAATTGTAAAAGAGAAAATTATTATTGATTCAGATAAAAATGAATACCTATCAAATAAGTTTAAGGACCCTAATTTAATTAATAACCACTATTTAGATGTGCCTGGTCCTGATTCTGTTCCCATATCTAATTTGTCATATATCGAACATTTTAGGTACACGTCGAATTCATTTATTTTGCGTCCTGTAAGTGAAAACGACGTAGTTAGGTGCATATACACAGTTAAGTCTAATTGTATAGGCAGTGATGGTATAACTCGAGACATGATTTTGTTTACTCTCCCACATACCCTACCTATTATTACTGCCATAGTTAATGAGTCAATTTTAAAAGGCCGATCCCGATCAATGTAAAATAGCACTAATTACACCCATATCCAAGGTTACCCAACCAAATGATTTACAGGATCTTAAACCTATAAATATTTTACCGTTTGTCCAAGATCTTAGAAAAAGCCGTATATGAGCAGTTACTTAAATATGTTGAGGCGAGCAACATACATCCAAGTCTACAGTCGGGTTTCCGGAGGGGACGTGGTACTATACCTGCATTACTTGATGTTACTGACAATTTATTAACTGAGCAAAGATGGAGGACGAGGCTCATTACTGACCTTCTGGATTTCTCTTGTGCATTTGAAAGTTTAAATATTCCTTTACTCTCGAAAATGTCTTATTATGGATTTGAGTCACAAACAGCCAATGCACTGTTTGTGACTCAAATCCATAATTCCATAGTTATGTAAGTAATCGTTATCAAATTGTTAAACTCTTAAGAGATTATGGCTGTCATTTCTTGTCGGATCCTGGATCAGTTAAAAGAGGCATTCCACAGGGATCAATACTTGGTCCGCTTTTGTTTATTTTATACAGCGCTGATCTAGCAAACGTAATAAGAAATTGCCAATACCATTGTTATGCAGATGACTTTCAGTTGTACATTTCTGAACGTCCTGATAAGGTTAACGTAGCAGTACAGGCTTTAAATGAAGATCTGGATCGAATTACTCATTGGTTAATTAATAATGCTCTAGTCCTTAACCCATCTAAATCTAAATTCATGGTCATTGGCTCAAAAAACCAGAAAGAAGCCATTCTAAGTAGAAGTCCCTCCGTAAAGATACTTGGAACTGATATTGTACGTGTTGATGAGGCAAAAAATCTAGGCTGCTGCGATTCGAGCGTCATGTATTAAATGTAGTTCGAGACTACCGTTTTACCGTTTAAAAATATTATATAAAGTACGTAATTATCTCACTGAGAGAGTAAGAATATTATTATGTGAGTCCCTTACTCTCTCTAAGTTCAACTATGGTGATCTATTATAGTATATGGTCCTCGCCTTGTATATAATTCTCGGAACATAATGCAACGCGTACAGAATGCTTGTGGCCGCTTCTGTTTTGATATACCTCCACGTACTCATGTCTCTCCATTTCTAAACAATGCATCAATTCTTAACATGAAATCACGGGGACGGTTGCATCTCGCAGTACTAAAGTTTGATATAATGACATTTAAAAATTCAGAATATTTATATAATCCAGAATAATTATGTCGGCGTCCCTAGATCAACACGGGTTCCTTTAGCAATGTATTCTCACCGAACTGTTGCTTTTACGGGAAGCTTCCGCTACGAGGCGACTAAATGCTGGAATAATATCCCTCCACCTATAAGAGCCATTACTTCAAAACTGGTATTTAAGAAAAAGATAAAACTTTTTCTACTAGACATATCCTAGCATTTATACATTATTATTTTTTTTTGAAAGCCTTTGGTCGCTTAGATGATGGTCTGCGTGAACAGTTATTTGAATTTATATACATTTTGATTTATTTATTTTATTATTATTTTTTTAAGTTTTGGAGGATAAATTTAATTAAATTTTGGTAACATTAAGATTGTTGAGTGAATATGTCGCTGCACGCGATCGCACCACCGCTGGGCTGCTACTAAAAATCAGTGTTTTGCTTGTTGAGCATATTGTTCACTGAGTAGCTCAACCCTTTCTTATCCCTGTGGCACCTAATATGTATTTTAATGTTTATTTTATGTGGAAGTTAAACTGTTATGTGTTGTTTATTTACAATTATTTACTATTCTTATGTGTTATTGAATTTTGTTTGTACTCTCTTTGTTTATGTTATCAGGATACGAATAAAGGTTTCTATCTATCTATCAAACATAATATTTATTAAAGTAATCAGTTCATTATGGACTACTTTTTTTATCGTTGCTAATGGTTCTTTCTAGCGTTTCCAGTAAAGTTAACTTTCCGTTTTTTCATTGGTTGAACTAATTCGAGTAGATGTAGGCAATGGACCGAAATTGATCCAATAATGACCCATTCCACAATGTAAATGGAAATTCAATCGGTATTGATGTAACCAGTTAAATTATTGTGTGCTTACACATAAACAATATTAAGCGCAGAACAATTATTTCTAAAATAACGTCATAAATACATGAATTAAATTGTGTACCTATATACTTTTTATATGTACTTTTAATATAATATTCTACTCCATCATATTAAAAAATATATTTGTCTTTCCCACAGATGATAGAATATACTTTTTTTATTATATATTGATCAATTAATTAGTTGATTAAAAGGTTAAGTGTAAAATTCTTAATATTGTAAAAAATAAACTTTATGTATAAAATCTCTGTAATATTTAAAAGTATTTACAATCTTAGAAAAGTTTGTAAATACTTTTAGATGTAGAAACAAAACAAGTATTTTAGTTTACGGCAGTAAAAGTAATTTATAAACTAATTAATTTAATGTGTTTGCCGTTAATATAATATAATAACTGTTTAATATGTTCTATCTAATACATAAACTAGAAAGGGTTGAGTCTGGCGACATAATATGGGTAACTTTTCTTTCACTTCTGTTATTATAATTATAATTTGTAAATTTATTTAAATAATTACATGTAATAAGAATTAACTGAATTTATTATTCATAAGTTTATAGTTTTGTTATTTTGGGACAATTGGGTTTGTAACTAATTTATACATTTGAAAAGTTACTAATAACAATTCCGTTGATTTAAAAGATATTATCCAATATGATACGCAACATTATAAGATATTGCTTTCATAAATTAAAAAGGAAAACGATCTATTTCAATTTAATTCAAACTTTATGATAGAACCCCGTTACTATAGTAACCAAATTTTAACTTCGGAGATTAGCATTGGTATATATTTTTCACTATAATATATAAACACAGTAAGCAAAGCTTATACAAAACGAGCTAAAATTTATTTTACAAGGCACGGCTCTCGCAATAAATCCATCAATTTTTAGTACAAAATCCGGTCCCAGGTGCATTCTAAGAAGACAGCTGCAGTTCGACTGGTGCAGAATAATAATCTTATATTAGGTCATACAGATGCATTGACTACAGCTGTTGCTTTAGTTTGGGTTCTTCAAAGACAATTTATTTAATATGTAAATGTTGTTGCATTACTAATAGACATTTTTTTTATTTAATAAAAAGTTAGGTACAAAAAAAACATGCAACATGCTACAATATACTTATAGATATCTCAATTAGAGTGCAAGTCGTTCTCATTGGAAAAGCTGTCTCGTCACAAGAAGAGTCGAGTTGTGATAAAAGCATTTTAAAGTTGTAGTAAGTAATATCAATGTATCACTGACTCGGTAGTGATGGTAATATTGATAATAAACCAAATAAATTCATGTCCCTCTGTATAAATGCTCCATGCCTGATTATGTACGTATGTATGTATTGAAATATTCACAAAAAAATATGGTAATGGGAAGTTTTATAATCCCTGTCTTTAGATGTCAATAACTCTGACTATCCTATCTGTAATTACAGTTGTATGAATTTATTATTGTTTATTATTATTTTAAACGAAACTCGATTAAGAAAAACTGATTATTAGAGCTACTTGATATTTATGATGAAATTTAATATATTTTGTTCTTATTTCAGGCTGTATTATGCCCTTTGGCATTAGTCACATTGATATCATCTTATGGCCATGACGACAAGCGACTGAAGTACGCTGAAGATTTAATAACACTCATCATACAGGCAATTCTCATTACCACCCCTCTTGGCTTCCTCCTTACAAATTATCTCGGTCCGAGACTGCTTAGAGTATCACCACAGGACTGTGAAAATACCGGTAATCTATACATATAAGATTGTACTGTCTGTACATGAAACATATCAGGAAAACTGTTATTAGTCCACTTTAACCAACCTACCTAATTACAACCCAAAAAACGAATGTTACATACAATACAATATTTTCGTGCGCTAATCTCAGAAATGTTTTCAGAAATGTTTATTTAAAAATTTGATTTTGTTTTATCAAACTATTATTTCTTCAAACAACACGAACGAAATTGTTAGCAGTGTCCGATTTTAATGTGTTAATCTCAACGAGGTGCGTGGATGTATTCGTTGTAAATAATTATAAAACACCAAATTGTAAATTAAATCGTAATTATATATATTTATTAAAATGTCGATATAATTAGCGGTGTAACAAAATATTGAAGCACAGAAAAAAAAAATGACAATCATAATTATTAGAACACAGCGTTCTATATTTAAATATAAAGTAAATAATTAAGAAGGTTTTAATACCTATTTTTGTTGGAGTTTCCAACAGTATACACTCCGTATACCTATGTATATATGTACATATACATATCTATAAGGAAAATAAACTCCGAAACTACTTACCGATTTGAGAAATTCTTTTTGTAGAGTAACATATTGATATACATGGGAAAAATCTCAAAAAGTTAGAGCACCTAGGTGGAAATAGATTATTATAGGATTCGTTATAACCGAACCTCAATAAATACATAATAACCGAAATCGAACCACGGGCATCCTGAAAGTGTTCCCTACAGGCCCCGTAAACTGATGAAATCATTAAAATAATATCAATATTATTACGTAAAAGAGAAATTTAAATTGATTATCATCAGCATAAATCCTACTGCATTTTTTCTGTTACAGATAAAGAGTCCTATAAGAGGAAGTCCAGTACATGCCAAAATGATTAATTATGAGTAATGCAGTCAGTGCCATAAAGACGTCTTCTCTATGGTCTCTACTAATAGTGTACAATTTATGAAGCAACCGCATTAGAAATTTAAAAACTATATCAATTGAAGTTGTGACTAGTTAAGTGTATATTGTATACAACAAACAACCATTTTTAGGAATAAGTTACAGTTTTATACAAAAAATGTAAAATTAACATTCACGCTTAATTGCATTGAATAAATTTGAATAAAATGGATACACAGATGGACTCATTATTTCAAGACGACCAAACAGATCTAAATTTGCAAATGGTTGTGCAATAGCTATTCCTAGTCCCCGTAGTATAATTATCTATGAACTACGAATGTAATATACCCATACAATGTTATTTTGAGGAAAAGAGATTGTTAGTAACAAGGCTATGTGCAGCGCATGTTGCAGACACTTTTGTACCAGTATTTAGAAAACTTAACATTCTCTTTCTACATTGTATCTAGGTATATATATTTATGGAATATGTATTTTCGTTAATAAATACCCACACACATTAAAAAAACTGGGTTATTCCAGAAAGAAGTAGACATAAATACAAGATATATCCTCTAAATAAAGATTAGACATTTTTTGCCAGTAAATATTCAATTTTTAAACATCCAACAATACAAGATATTATTATAAGATAGAAACTATATTAAATAAATGTTATTATTCCACAATTGATTATTTAAATGGTAATGTATTTATGTAATTATTATAAATGTTATCTTTAAACTAGCTAACTAGCTTTTGCCCGCGGCTTCGCTCCCGTTAATTTATCCCCTTAGGGATGAAATTTATCAAAATCCTTTCTTAGGGAATGCCTACGTCATAGTAGCTTTATGTATGCAAAGTCTCAGGCCGATCGGTTCAAAATTGATAAAGTTTCATACAAACTTTCCTACCCTATTTTATCCCCTTGGGGGTAGAATTAATCAAAATCGTTTCTTAGCGGACGCCTACGTCATAACATCTACCTGCATTCCAAATATCAGCCCGATCCGTCCAGTGGTTTGGGCTGTACGTTGATAGATCACTATGTCAGTCACCTTTGAGTTATATATGTTTAGATTTTCATTTATTCCATATTTATAGACATTAATAGTATCACAACTATTAATGTATACCACAGATAACATAATATTACATATGTATACTATTAACTATCGAATGAATGAAAATGACTATATAAAAATGCATCAAATTGAGTACGTTAATTATGTATACCACAATATTAAAAGATGCTTTACTATACAACAATCATCAACATTTTAAACTTCCATCTAGCGGAGAGTAATGAAACTATGTGAAGTTACAAGCGACACAGCATTGATACTGTGCTGATTCTTACTATAGTGCCCTCTATTGTCATTTCCACAAACCAATGAAAATACGAAAGTATGAAAATTCTTGTTTAATTTAATTTAATAGTTTGTACGATAACATTACAGATGGCATTCTTTTTCTTTTGTTTAAATCTTCAAGTATAAAATTTATATTATGTTGTAAATGTAAGTACTTCATTGTACTTCATTTTCCGCAATCAGCCTCTCGTCTGGATCGTTGTACATGTAGAGCCGAGACTACTAAAGTAGCCAGCCAAGCTCCTTCCAAACGCGCACAAGTCTCCTAGTGCCTTCAAACACTTCACGGAGCGACCTCACCGCTCCGAAGATTTAAGAAAGTTAGATGTGTGGTCGCTGCTACGCACTCCAGAATTACGTGAGCGGCCGTTCTTCGGCTTTGTGTACAGGTGTGCGGGACAGTAGCCCATTATTGTCTCTATCATTATTTTGAGTTTTACCTATTTAGGTTCAGTAGGCGTTTTGTCAATCGTTGATTTGCTACTGGAATTCATTGTTTGCAATCAGTGGTTTTTATCCATCTTTGGTTTTGTATTTTGGTGAATCTCCGGTGAATCCAGGTTCAAAATTGTGAGAAGAATAATTGTAAAAGCGGTAGGAGGCCTGCTTGGTAGCAGATTCTTCTCGCCAGCTCGTCCGCGGCATCGTTACTATATGATACACTGCCTTTTTATCCACTGGATATTTATATTATATTATGATTTAGTTAATACACTACGTTAGCAATAAAAAAAAAGAAATAATCATTCTGGTTTTTGGAAAGACATTGGACGGTGGACTAGTGAGTTGTTAAACAATATTGTAAGAGAAAAACAAATACTGTTTGTGAAATATTGCATGCAAATAAAGTTATTCCATTCATTGTTTCTTTGCATTAACTGAACACAGTTAGTATCCATATTATATGTATACCTGTACACGCAAAATAAATACCATTTTTTATTATTAAAAAACTCTTATTTTTACCTACTGTGATTATTATATAATACTTGTTTGAATAAATAGACTGAAGAGAAAAAATAATAAAATATAACGGAATAAAATAGCTAAATAATACTATAACTATTCTTTTATTTCTATACCATAAAATTTTAAGCATATTTTTTTATTTAAATGTACTTAAATATTTTAATTTAATTGAATTGTTTTTTATTTACGTTTATCTTATATAATAATTTATATGCAGCTGTCAGCATCGTTTTTATTGTGTTGTGATGTATGATGTAATAAATATTATTCTATTCTATTAAATAAAAGTCCATGAAAGTAGTACCTAAAAAAAATAATAGGAATTCATATTAGAAAAAACTTAAACGACTTCTTATGAATTAATTTACTTAACAATAAAAAAACTTAGAGCAAGACACGGTGACTGTTTTCATTACAAAATAAAAAAAAATTACTTAATATGACTGCATAGTCTCTTTTTATTTTGTCTGTGTTATAATGAAAATATTATTTAACTAACAATTTTCTTTATTAAGTAACAACAACAAAAAGATAATTTGGTAAATTAAAAATTCATGAAGCAATATCACTAACGAGTCTGTCATTTTAATAATTACATTCAATGACCTATTTTATTAATTAAAACAACGATAGACAACATAAAGGGGAAACATGTGACTATAGCCAGTCGGTCAAACACAGTTTCATAATGGTTTTGTATATTACACTAATATACACCTTATGATAGTACGCTGTCATAGGACCTCTTTAATTAATTAAACATCGTCGCTGAATCGTCGCAGGAGCGTGCGGCGAGCACATGCGATGCGCCCGCGCCAGTTTGCCCAAACTCCGGCATCCGCCTGCACACACCAGCGAAAACAATATCGCTCTCCACCTAAACAGTGACTTTGTGTTTGTTTAAACCCTGGAGAACGTTGAACAACGAGCAACACGTCGCTGACCGTTTCTCAGTCAAGGTTTTTACGTGACCAAATCTACGTACTACATAAAGGGCCGCCACTGTCACGTAATCGTTAACTTGTGTATTATTTTTTATCGTTATTCTTTCACCTTCAAAGTAAATATCTTATCGAATTTTATTGTCAATGTATAGACATCCCAGACAGAGCTAAATCTTAGAAACAAGAATTCTTCAGTGAGATTTTCAGTGACAATCAACTATTATGAATTAAGTTAAGATGAAGACACGAGATCGTCGTGCAAAACAGGATACACGAAGGCCGAAACAAGAGAAGAAAGCAGCTAAACAAGACAGCCGTACTACGAAGGCTCCGCAAACAGGTGCAGAATCGTCACGTGTACACTCTAAGCGGTCTGGTGTAGAAGCCGTTAAGCTGCATATACAGACATCAGGATGCACCGGCAGATCATCTCGATCTGCAACAGCGGTAAATATATACTTATTATGATCATTAAATACTTATAGTTTATCCCGTGGTTTAAAGATTAGTATAACATTAGATATGTAGGTATTAAAAATGTGTATACATCACTCTTGTACTACGTAAAACTAAAACTATAATATTCCACGATAATCGACAACTCTATTCGAAAATATCTAAATCGAATCTCTATCGAATAGTAAAGCGATAATTAAATGTAATGTGTATATTATTCAAAAATATGAGACTCGCACAATGACTAGCTTGTTAAACTAGTCTCAGCTAGCAACATTATCCAGACTGATTGTTTATTAATATAGAAGACTATAAAAAAAAACTATGTGCCAAAATATGACTAACGCGTTCAAATTTAACCAAAAATACTTAAAATAAGAAATCTTAAAAATTTCAATACTTAGTGATAATGAATTAATTAGTACTAAGCTTCATACGAGATACAAATAATAGATCAATAAATAAAGTACATAGCAATATACAAGAATCCATAATTTTACTGATTAAGAAACTGGTACGGTGAATGAACGTTAATTCACAATTTAATTTACTTTATACTATTTAATCGATAAATAAATACTTAGTAAATATAAGAAATAATAAGACAAGATAATAGACAATAGGGAGAAGTAATAAATACTCAGCTTATCGACTTTGACACGTAAATCATGTGATTCGTTTATCACATTTCCAAGATCGTGACAAACAGAGATTATCGACTCTGTAACAAAACTACTCCTTATCTCCTTGAGAAGGACAATAGCAAAGATCAAACACAAAATCATCAACTCGACAGTCTTTTAACATTGAAATGTATTTTGTTAATAAATATTATTATAGGTAGATACTACAATTCAGTATCTTAGGAACACAAAGATATTTTTATTATTATAGTAGCCATGGAGCTACTACAACAAGCATAAATCAAGCTAACTTTTTTTATGGATGCTTATGCTAACGATATACGCTGGCGGGGAACCAGTAGCATGAGGTTAGGTTAAGTTAGCCCATCGTGACAAATTCACAAGGAATTAACCACAATGTGAGGGGACTACGTAAACTAGTCCCTATTACTGACAATCCTCTTTGCTCTCACAGGACAACGCCATCTAGTTAAGCTGAGCTTGTGTTGTGTACTAGACTACTGATACAAATACATAGATACTCTTTTTTTTATAAATACGTACATAATACACCTAGAAAACAGCCAGACCGATACAAACAATCATCGTGAATGCGAAAGTGTTTGTACCGTGCGAGGAATCGAACCCGCAACCAGTGGACATAAAACAGTGTGCTAAATCAATAAACCACGGAAGCCGTCAAATCAGTAATCACACGAATTACTCGAAACTGGAAATTAAAGGACAAGGTTTTAACGTCAGCCCAGTTTTTTTCTCAGCTTGTTTCCTGAACAGGTTTTCTTATCTATTCATCAAAGAAAAAACACGACTAAACCGGTCTTATTAGGTAATGTAAAAAAACACAATGCTTATTACATAAATGATAACATTAAGAACATCATAAGATAAAATATGGTTGTATACAATAAACATGTAAATTTAATACGTTTATGAGTATCTAATTTTCAGTTGATGTAAAGCTTTAATACATAGTACACTGCTTTACTTTCGATGGTCGAAGGTTCGATTCCTCGTACGGTGCAAAGATTTATATTCATGAGTATGATTGTATGTTATCGGTATGGATGTTTTCTATATATATTATATATTTATTTACAAAAAAGAGTATCTAAGTATTTATATCAGATGTCTAGTACCCATAAAACAAGTTCTGCTTACCGTGGGACTGGGTAGCGTTGTGTTAGTTGTCCAGGGTTATATATATATTTTTATATATGAAAAGAGGTAACTAATAATAAGAAAAAATATTATACTGATTTAGCCTTCATAAACAAATGACTGATACATTTCAAGTAAGCAATCTGTAGAATAAGCCTATCTTTACTAGTAGACAGCTAATGAAACCCTGATGTCATTATCAATCTATGTAAATATTATAAAGAGAGGCAGTGCCTTTTGTTTGAGAAAAGTAAATTACGGGGCTCGATTAAGGAAATTATTTCGCTGTTTTAGAGTTACATTATTCCAGAGTTACATAAGGTAATTACAGAAAACTCAGAATGTTATAACTTAGTGTGCAAAACTGTTTCACTAAAATCAAATTAAAGCTATTGCAAAATTATGAAAAAAAACAGTAGTTTACCTGATGATGCAGAAGTCTAAATGTGAATTTCATGTAATAATCGAATAATAAATATTGTCAAAATTATATATATAGTATTACGAACTTCGAAATTGTAATTTATAATTATGATAGGCCTACTAGTTCTATAATAGACATATAAATAAAAGACGCTGGACAATTTCCAGGTGACGCTACCCTAACCAATATATGCAATTGTGTATTAGTTGTTATTCTACTAGGGCGCAAAGCGGCAAGCTTTAAATTACACATCAAGGAACTCACATATCTCTGTATTCTGGGTAGCGGCAGATTTACGTCATATTATTAACGACTTATGGATATATAATTTTTATGTTTATTTTATTGCCATTTAATTTATCTACAAATTTGACTGCTACATCCTGTACGACTAAATCTGTAACTGCAAGGTGTGTACATAGCTAAAATTCAGGTAGGTTAAATATGAAACTGAATCTCTTTTACCAACAGATAGACAAGATGAAAAATAGAATATAGTTTTTAATCTTCTTACAAACTGCGTGGTGCATAATTAAGATTTTTTTAAATATATTTTTAATTTTCTATTATTATTTTTCCTTGTTTAAAGTCCTACACTAAGTTAATTACACTTACATTAATTAATAAGTAAGTATGTATATCTACTGCAAAGCTCGTAAATTACCATCAAAGATTGTAATGAAAAGTAAAGTATACGAGTATAGTAGTATAAACTTACATCTGTATAACTAAACGCGTTTAAATCTTTTATTTCCATATCCGTAATATATGCAAAAGTATGAAGCTTCATCTATGATAGCATAGTTATTTTTGTATTTTACACTTTATTATATTGAGTTTCTAGATTGATTAGAATAAACGTTGGCTCTTATTCAATTTGGTATATATTTAATTGTATATATTAAACGAAACTAAAAGAAAATACATATTAATATAACGTAAACTAGTTTTATAACATATACAATTACAGTTAATTATAAGATCTACATACTTAGAAGCGTTATAAAAACAACAACCAGTCTGTTACACTTCCATAATCTTAACAATAAAATACCTAATCTAGCCAAACGGCTTTTCAGAATTCATTAATTGAACTCTTATTAAATTCTAATAGATAATGTCAAATAATATAAATATAAGGCGCCATTTTTTATGTTGTCGTAAAACATTGCAAAAATAATAAGCACTTTCTTTCTGCTAACATAAATAGCAAAGTTAGTAGTTATAGGAGGTCACATATTTATGATTTCCCTTTTGATGGAAAGTTTATCCTGCAAGTCACACACAGGCTGGCGAGTCACAGTCATACTCAAATTATATATAAAATATATATATACCAATAGTACAAAGCTTTGTACTTGTTTTAATTTTTACCCAATACACCATCCTTATATACTTGTACATAGAACTGAGTATTTTTTGCTATTACTTTTGAATACAAATTTGTATTGTGCTGGGATCGAACCCGAAATTGTCAGAAGGTCAGTCTGTGTATTAAACTGGTACAGCATCAATATTGTTCTCAATTTCAATTCTCGAGGTCAATTCCGATTTTTTTATATGCAAATTTATGTGCAAAATGTTATTGGAAACTGGAAAACACTGGTAATAGTTGTACTATTTCTAACCTCACGTAAAATCCGTTATGGGGTAGACAAAGAGAACTGAGTTCCACTGACTGCTGTCCTTACACACTTTGCTATAAGTCATTCCGTGCATACGCATACGGGCTAGTTCCGGAAACGTCCATCCATTAACACAATCTAATAGTTGTTACAGTTACACCCGATACCTACAACCTTCTCAAGCAATGGACGCCTATCTTTTATCGCCTGTTTATCTCTTCTCTTCATTCATAATCATAATCCAGTGTTTACGTATATCGAATTCAAAAAACAATATCTACTCTGTTGCATCACAAATGATAGTTTGTTAAATTCTCAGACACATCGTCAATTATGTGATAGGCTATTCAGTATTCGAGGTCGATTTCGATAAATATTTTTTATCAAACATTGTTTAAGTACCTATACTTCTAAATTATCATAAGTGTTTATCATAAAAAGAGAGAAAGACCTGAAAATGTCAGATTTAATAACAAATCAATGTAACTATATTTTTCATATTGTTGTCACAAAAAATATATCGTACAATTTATAAAGCAATATAAATTCACATTGAGGAAAATCGAAAGCATCGTAGCCTATCAGTTTACTACGTCCATACGAAAAGGTCTTAAAAAAATAATATATTAACTACGAATTTATACAATACCACCTTGTTACTCGCGACTTGGTCCGCATAGAATTACAAATTTATTAAAATAAATTAAATTTCTAAAATAAAAGTAGTCTAACTTACACACTAAGTCCAAGTTAGACACTTAGGAAAGTGTATTTATGATAAGGGAAAATATATAATGGGGAAGAACTGGTTCACAATATTGTAGAATATTGTGAAATTTTTCATTTCTAACATTTATATTTTACCATTTACTTTCATTATATATAGAGGTACCAGGAGTTTTAATTCAATGTATTACCCATCCCACTTCAAGTGTCAAAATTCATTGATATCTATTGTTAGCCCACATAATCAAAAAAATATTTATATGCTTAGGTACGAGTACTTAATAACATGGTTATAATTAGTTAAACTCCTTAGTATATATTTATCTAATATAATAATATCAATTCGTAATAAAAACAGTGTTCAATGTTAGTTAAAAAATTACTCTTAATACTGCATTTGAAGAAACCGGGGTT